ATATCAAAAGTCGACGCGTTGACCAGCAAACTTACTAAATTAGACACCATCGAACGGGGTATTCTTGAGTTAAACAATGATGTGAAACATTTGAGATCCCGGGTTGCGGAAGTCGAGAAATCTCAGGAATTCCTAAATAAGAAATTTGAGGAAAATTTAGCCCCTGATATGAGTGGTATTAGGGCCAGTATCAATCGTGCTGCCGACGACATACTAGATTTGAAGTGTAGGTCCATGAGGGACAATCTCTTATTTTTCGGGGTAGAAGAAAAGGCCACGCCCGACTTTGACACAGTAGTAAACGAAAGTGGTGTTGAAGTGAGAGTACCGACTGAAGACTGCATTGCCAATGTAAATTGGATCGCGCATGACAAACTCGGTATAAGTGAAAATGTGATCATCGACAGGGCACACCGGATAGGGGAGAAGAAGGAGGGGAAGACTAGGCCCATCGTAGCCAAATTTAATATGTACCAACAAAAGGAGCTTGTAAAACGTAATGCAAAGAAACTAAAAGGGACAGATATTTTTATTTCCGACCAGTTTCCGAAAGAGGTTCAGGATGCGCGGAAGAGGCTATGGCCAGTGTGTAAGAAAGCGAGAAACGAGAACAAAAAGGCGGTGATTATTAGGGATAAACTTTTTATAAACGATAAAGTGTATGATGGACCAGTACCGGACCTTTCCGCGGCCGCGGCCGGGAAGGGGACCCCCACGGGACGGGACAAGCCTAAAGGCCGAGGACGTCAGTCCAGTACAAATTAGGACAGTGATGAGAATGAGAGTATTTCAAATACTCTAAATGTACTGTCATGGAACATTAATGGTGGATTGGACAATAAATTAAAATCTAAACAATTTCAAAATTTTATTAAAACATATAATCTTGTATTTTTGACAGAATGTTGGATAACAAATGACTACCAAGTTGATATTGAAGGTTACTCTACCTATGTAATACCTAGAAAACGTACTACACATTCCCAAGGAGGTGGCATGTTAATTATGATTAAATCAAATTTAACTAAATATATTTCAGTTTGTGAAATTATATGTGACTCTATAGTTTGGCTAAAAATTGATAAAAGTCTTATTGGTCAAGGAAATGATGTGTACCTGGCATGTGTCTATATTCCACCTTCCAATTCCCAATTCTATAACCAGTATAACTGTGATTTATTTTTTGAATTGGAATATGGTATAAGTCAATATTCCCGAAAGGGTGATATTATGTTGTTGGGAGATTTTAACAGTCGTACCAGTAATGTATGTGATTATGTAAAATATGATATTATTCACGACAGTGTTAAATGTCAGCTTTCTGATTTGTTTTCATATGTCTCTGATGATTATTATACTGATAGGGTTAACCCCGACACAGTGGTAAATCATTTTGGAAACCGACTTATAGAATTATGTAAGGCGAGTTGTTTGCGTATCTATAACGGAAGAGATTTAAATAAGTATTCAAATGACTATACATATTGTGGCCATAATGGAATGAGTGTTATTGATTATTTGATTGCGAGTCCATGTTTATTGTATTGTGTTAAACAGTTTATTGTTGGCAATTTCAATGTGTTATCTGACCACGCCCCACTGCACGTGCAAATACGAACGCGTTTTTCATTGGTCGATAATGATGATACACACGTGTGTGAACCGACAGGTAACGAGCGACCTACTTATCGATGGAATGACGAAGGCAAGGTAAGCTTTTTAGATGTACTCTCAACGAATCAAAACGATATTAACGAGTCGGTTATACTATCGGAAGATGTTACCCAAAATGATATGGATGATTGCGTTACGCGATTTTCAAACGTATTGCTTCGAGCAATGGACCCCTTTCTCTCGCGACCGAGTACACACAGGAACGACAAGCGTGCGGGAGCAATGGGGCGAGACCAGGTAAATAAACAAGTTAGGTATGATACAGGTATATCCGAGGACAAACCATGGTTTGACCCCGATTTGAAACATGTATGGAATAATTATAAAAATGCATTGAGTTTGTTTAATAGTTCTAAGTCTGTAGAGAATCATAACAATTTAATTAATAAGAAAAGATTGTACAAAGCAGCAGAAGCAAAGAAAAAAAGAATGTACATGAAATATGAAGGTGATATGCTTGATCAACTAAGAAAGTATAATCCGAGACAATTTTATAAGAGATTCTCGTCGCCTAAAGCAGCTGGACCTCAAATGAGTATGGATAATTTGTACGACCATTTTAAGACTTTGTCATCTGAGAATGTTAATAATTCAGATGTAACAGAAAATAGAGGTGAATTTAATTCCAATGATAACTCTATTCCAATTTATGATGAATTAGACTGTCCTATTACGGTGTATGAGATAGCTAAAGCGATAGGTAACCTGAAACGGGGTAAATCACATGGACTTGATGGAATTTTAAATGAATGTTTCGTAGTTGGTAAAAATGTACTATTGCCTGTTTTGAGTGTACTATTTAATGGCATTTTTAATTCTGGATGTTTTCCCTCCGAATGGTCTATAGCTGTTATTACGCCAGTTCATAAGAAAGGAGATAAAAGTGACCCTAACAATTTTAGAGGTATTAGTTTGGTAAGTTGTCTAGGCAAACTGTTTACATCAATTTTGAATACGAGGTTGGTAAAATGGTCGGAGTCTTATGATATTATTACTGACGCACAGTTTGGTTTTCGTCCTGGTCTTAGCACTGTTGATGCCGTTTTCGCTCTGCATTCAGTTATTACAAAATCTTTTAGTGAAAATAAACGTCTATATTGTTGTTTCGTGGATTTTAGAAAGGCGTTCGACTACGTTGATAGGATCAACTTGTGGTATAAGTTATCGAAGTTGGGAGTAAGAGGGAAGCTGCTGCAAGTCATCAAGTCTATATATAATCATGTTAGGTCTTGTGTGAAATTCAAAGGCTGCTTATCAGACTTTTTTGATAATGATATCGGATTATTGCAAGGGGAAATTCTGTCTCCGATACTTTTTTCCATGTATGTGAATGATTTTGAATCGTTTTTTATCTCGAATTGTAGTAGCTATTATACCTTTGGAGAATTAAGCTTATTTCTTATGCTATACGCAGACGATTTAGTGTTGTTATCGGAGACGGTTGAGGGTTTACAGGAACTGTTGGATAATCTCGCTAGTTATTCTGAGAAATGGAAATTAACTGTCAATATTGATAAGACAAAAATTGTGGTTTTTCGAAAAGGCGGGAAAGTTCGAAATAATGAAATTTGGTTTTATAATGGCAAAACGGTTAGTTGTGTTGATCAATTTACATACCTAGGTGTGCAATTTAAGTTTAACAATAAGTTCAATAGTATTCAGAAACAATTAGCTGACCAAGGTCGTAAAGCTATGTTTGCTTTATTATCAAAATGCTCCAATCTTAGTCTTAATTTTAAGACCATGTTACATTTGTTCGATACATATGTTATTAGCATATTAAGTTACGCATGTGAAGTATGGGGATCCATAAAAGGAATAGACATTGAGAATGTGCACTTGAATTTCTGTAAGAGACTCCTCAAAGTTAAAAAATCCACATGTAATGCAATGGTATATTTCGAACTTGGTCGCTTGCCTTTAGAATGTATCAGAAAATACAGAATCATTAAGTATTGGTTTAAGTTACTCGACTCGAAAAATTGTATTCTGAACTGTGCATATTCTTTTTTATCAAAACAGATTACATGTACTTGCTTTAACTGGGTACACCATGTAAAAAATGAATTATTTGCTTTGGGCTTTGGTGATGTATGGTTAAGCCAATCGTCGACTAATGTTAAATTAATTTTACCGCTTATTCGTCAAAGAATTTTTGACCAAGGCCAACAACATTTAAGAGGTTTACTAGAGACTTCCTCTAAGTGTTTTTTATACAAGTGTATCGTAGACCACTTTTCCATTCAGTATTATTTAACCAAATATATTCCTAAGAATTATAGAATTAGTCTAACAAAGTTACGAATGTCTGCACATTCATTAGCAATCGAGACCGGTAGATATCGCAACGTTATTCGAGAACAGAGATATTGTACGAACTGTAATTCGGCTACAGAAGTCGAAGATGAATACCATTTTATTCTGATATGTAAAACCTACCAAAACTTAAGAAGCCGCCTTATTAAAAAGTACTACTGGAAAAAGCCATCCATGTTTAAATTTATACAATTATTGTGTGTTAACAATACTAAGGAATTATGTCAACTTGGTAAATATATTTTTGAAGCTAATAAGTTAAGAATCTAATTTATTTACTCCACTCTCTCACTGTATATTGTGAGCCGTGTTATTGTGTATATTATGCATTGTATTGATATGTTTGTACTGATGGGCCGTAAGGCCGAAAGTTAATAAATGAATTGAATTGATTCCCCGATCGGACGTGACAATGTTGGGGTCACCTGCCCAACCATATTGGTTTTCTCCGGGTACTCCGGTTTCCTCCCACACTAAGACCCCCCACGCGCTAACATCCGGGCCAACAAGAGTGATTAATATAAGTTGAAATAACTTGTTTCATAATTGTTGTAAAATAAATAAAGTTATATTATATTCAAGTAGACTGTAAACGCCAGATACGTGAATCATTGACAGGTATGTTTTGTACCTAGTATATATGGCCTCCTTAGCCTTGTTATACTATTGGACGGGCTAGAAGTGGTGATCTGACCAACTCCTCGGAAGGACTTATGTACAATTGATCATGATATTAATGATAATTCACTCTACTCAAACTACTGTCTGATCATTCAAAGCCACCATGTGTAAGTAAATATTGCCAGTCTGAGCGGTATAGAACATGCATATTCAAATTAAGAACATTGTAGTGATAACCTTTGTGAACATGACATACTGTATAATAAACAAGACAGATTCATAATGATAAAGGAATAAAGTCGATACTACAGAAGATAAATCTACGACTTATATTGTCAACAATGGTCAGACTATCATAGCTTTACCTTCATGCGAACCAATGTCCTTACCTTCAGTGAGAGCTGTTTCCACTGTTCATTTCGTTTCTCCTGAACGTTATTGTAGGTACCAATCTGAAATCACAACAGGTAAAACCTCCAGGTAAGTGTGTTTACACCTGTCACGTATTAACACTATAAAATACACATGTAATTGACGGGCTGTCAAAAGGTACACTCTTTATAGCATTCTAAATTCAGATCATCTACACACTTTACCCGGATCATGTTTCTACAAGAAAAGAGCAACGGAGGAATTTTAATTAAAATCTGTTGTGGCGTTTAAGTGTAGATATTAGAATATAGTATTAAGATTAAGCATTCATGCTATATATAACATACAAACTGTGATTTAAATCTCCATACCAACTTAATGAAAGCAACAGTAGAGAGTTGGATAACTATATAGTGTACCTAATTGAGGAAGTTCCTGTAGACAAACATTGATTTCCCATGTGCTTATCTTAAAATCTAATAACATGATGATACTAGTTTAAACATTAATATTTGACAGCTTATCTTAAACTCATAGTACCCTGTGTGACACACAACCTAACAAAAATGTAAAATAAAATATCTATCAGTATATTTTTTAGATAAAAACAACTTACCCTACTAACGGGATCCTATGCTACAGATACGTTTTATACACTTTTCCCGTCACCAACACTAGTACTTATATCCTATAGGCTAGGCCAGTTTGCCAATCGTAAATCATGCGCGACGTTGATCAAGTCTAGCTTGGGAAGGGGAGCATTTAAATGGATTAAGGTTAAGGCATTTATATATTGTACATGGGTTTATATATACCTAAGTGACACACACTGTTGAACAGTCAGCTTGAGAGTGTATAGGAATACCGGTACACATCTACTATAGAGGGTTCGTTTAAGGCACACACTTTACTTTGAATGATTGGTGGTTTTAATGTAAAATATTGAACAGTTATGGGATAGCCAATTTGAAATCTTCTCATGTTATGATTCAAATGTTGAATATAAATGTGGGACTTCCGTAAGCACACCTAGGTTTATGCTTTGTTGGGTTGGGTGTAAATACAATGCTTTTAATTCCCAGTGTGACGTAAGCGTATCGTATTGACCCCAGATTGTATCTGGTATAACCCCTGATTAACTCAGTACCGGCTGACCACGAGGGTCACACCAGCAAACCTGGTCAGCGTACAAGCTGTGGTACACATACATTTAAAGATACATTCAATTTTACAGCATGTTATTTATCAGACCTAGTTTCAAATTGTTTCAGAATATAAGTTTTGTAAAATTTCTATAAAGCATATGAAAAGTTGTTGTAACTTGACCTTCTTAAATGGTTTGTAAAAGAGTCGTCATGGATGTTTGGAGTTCGTTCTGTGATTTTTACTAACACATTCTATCTACAACCAATTGTACTTTACTTTTCTCGTCACCTCTACTCCTTATTCTGTGGCTACTCAAATAATAATTAACAAACAACAAAGTTAATTTGTTTACTTTATATAGAACTTTTAGATGAAGTTTTTTCTTCGTCTAAAATAATTTTTCTCTAAACACTTCATTGTGTACGACCTATTTTTACTTACAGTAGTCTTATATACAAGATGTCAACTGTAACGTTTGTTAGATTTATTTAAAGGGGCGGGGTACTAAAATTAATAATTAATTGTTAAATACTGTTGACTAACCTTTGGGATAATATCCCGACTACACAAAGTAAGTAGAACTTTCCGTAGGGATAGGGAACGGCGGTGTTTGTGGTGGTGTGTTGTAGGATGGTTACGTGCTAGGACATCTATAGTGTACCTAGGTTTATATATACCTGCGTGACACACACGGTTTACAATGAGGAAAATTAGAACAAACGTATAGGCTTCACGAAAAAAAGTAGAACAAAAATCAACGTATTTCAGACTGTTATTGATGAGAGGAAGACATGAAAATGTTTTCTTTTGTAAGGATTTAGAATGTAATTATAATAAGAATACCCGAAGACTGATATGTTTAATTTGTTTGCAAAGTGTTAAACTTGTTAATAGTTTCGTGCTCCTGTAAGTTATTGCTACCTGCCAACTAACCTTGCGATACTCCTCCACCTATAGCCAGTAAGTGTACAGGACGGGGGCTATCATTGGTTTGATACGTCAACACCGTTAAAAGGTGTATTGTACATGTACTTTAAATGTATGTATTGAATGTCTATAGGTTTACGTATATACTTGTATGTTTAACCTCTGTTAAATGGAGAAGCAGTATAAGGTAACTGTGTACCTATAAGATAGCCCTGCCAGAAACACTTTGCCGTGCATATGGCAATTCCTTACTCTATTTCTTGTTCTGTCATTACTCGGTGCTTGGCATCCGTAACATTTGATTTATTCAACCACATAGTTTTATGGTGTGAAAATACATGTTTTGGCTTTGCCTAGAGAGTTTATAACCAATCTGACCTGTTAAGTGTTGAAAATAACTTTAATGACATAATTTGCAAGCCACCTCTCACAGTCCCCTCAAATTAAGATGCCCCCTGACACACCATCACAAAGTCATAACAATTACTCCTACTTTGTTAGTTGAATATCAGATATGCAATGAAGGTTTATACACTACCAACTACTTAACTTCTAGTCTCAGCAGAAACACACCAGCATCCCTGCTTGTCACATTTGATTCCGCAGACTTTTCATGATCTTTTTAATTTCTGCTCCCTTTTGACCAATAAATAACGAAGCCGGGGTTTCCGTTCACAGACGCCTCAATCTATAATGTGACTTATTTTACTGTGATTATATCATTAGCAATTTCGACCAAGCAGTTTTAGTTTGTGTCATGACTAAACCTGTGTATACCGTACCTCAGAGTAAACATGTGTATACCGTACCTCAGAATAAACATGTGTATTCCTCAGAGTAAACATGTGTATTCCGGACCGCAGAGTAAACATGTGTATACCTTCCCTCAGACTAAACATGTGTATTCCGTGCCTCAGAGTAAACATGTGTATTCCGGACCGCAGAGTAAACATGTGTATACCGTGCCTCAGAGTAAACATGTGTATTCCGGACCGCAGAGTAAACATGTGTATACCTTACATCAGACTAAACATGTGTATACCGTACACAAGAGTAAACAGGTGTATACCGTACCTCAGATGAAACATGTGTATACCGTACATAAGAGTAAACAGGTGTATACCGTACCTCAGATGAAACATGTGTATACCGTACATTCAGACTAAACATGTGTATACCGTACCTCATAGTAAACATGTGCATACCGTACCTCAGAGTAAACATGTGTATACCTTACCTCAGACTAAACATGTGTATACCGTCCCCCAGACTAAACATATGTATACCGTACATAAGAGTAAACAGGTGTATACCGGACCTCAGACTAAACATGTGTATACCGTACCTCATAGTAAACATGTGTATACCGTACCTCAGAGTAAACATGTGTATACCGTACCTCAGA